CATCTGCAAATAGTGATAGTTTGACTTCTTCTTTTCCTATTTGGATTCCCTGGATGTCTTTCTCTTGTCTTATTGCTCTGGCTAGGACTTCCAGTATTATATTGACAAGCAGTGGTGAGATTGGGCATCCTTGTCTTGTTCCAGATCTTAATGGAATTGCTTTCAGCTTTTCACCATTGAGAATGATACTGGCTGTTGGCTTGTCATAGATGGCCTTTATGATGTTGAGGTATGTTCCTTGTATCCCAAGAATTTCAAGGGCTTTTATCATGAATGGGTGTTGCACTTTGTCGAAAGCTTTCTCAGCATCTATTGATATTATCATATGGTTTTTATATTTCTTTTTGTTGATGTGTTGGATAACGTTGATTGATTTTCGGATGTTAAACCATCCTTGTGTCCCTGGAATGAATCCTACTTGGTTGTGGTGAATTATCTTATGGATACATTGTTGGATTCTGATAGCTAAAATTTTGTTGAGGATTTTTGCATCAGTGTTCATTAGGGAGATTGGCCTGTAGTTTTTCCTTTTTTGTGTTGAAGAATGACTACTTTCAATACCTCATATAAGTGGAATCATGAAGTGTATCTTTTTGTGACTGACATTTCACTAGCATAATTGCTCCAAGTTTCCATCCATGTTGTATCATGGATGTTTTTCTCTCTCCATTTCCATCAACAGATATTTGGACTGCTTCTACCTCCCATTTCATAGGTTACCTTTTATAGTCTGTTGATTATATTCTTTGGTGCACAAAAGTTTTTAAGTTTGATATACTCCAGTTTGTTTATTTTTGTTATAGTTGCCTGTGCTTTGGGGGTTATATTCAAGAAATCCCTGCCAAATCCAATGTCCTAAAGCTTTTCCCCTATGTTTTTAGAATTCTATACTTTTAGGTCTTACATTTAGCTCATTAATCTATTTTGAATTAATTTTGTTTATAAAGGGGAAGACAAAATCCAACTTTATTCTTTGCCTTTGGATATCCAGTTTTTCCCAACACTCTTTATTGAAACAATTGTCCTTTTCCCATTGAATGTTCTTAACACCCTCATCAAAGTTCCTTTGCCCATATGGCTTATTTCTATCCTATTTATATTTGAGTTTTCCAGAGAAACAAAATCAATAGATGGAGATATAGATACAGATATACACATGAAGATTTAATTTTCTCATGTGATTATGAAGGCTTAGAAAATCCCATGATCTGCCATCTGCAATCTGGATACACAGGAAAGCCAGTGGTATAATTCTAATCCAAGTCTGAAGCCTTGTGAGGCAGGGGAGCTCATGTTATAAATCCCAATCTTATGGCATGAAACAACCAATGTCCTAGCTCAAACTGGTAGGCAGGAAGCAAAAAAGTCAAATGCCTTCCTCCACCTTTGCTCTAGGCTTTCATCTTATTGAATGAACCCACCCACACTTGGGAGGGCAGTGTACTTAATTGAGTTCACTATTCAGTCTCCTCCTTTTATTTTCTTTCTTAAGGTCTCATTTTTGTTCTTCAGTTGATTGATTATTTGTCTCATCTCATTATACTTTTTAATCATGATGATTATTAATTTTCTATCTGATAGGCAGAAAAGTTCTTCCATGTCATTGTTGCACTCTGGTGAATGATTTTCTTTTTGTGGTGTGTCCTTCTCCTGCAGATTTGCTTGGTTATTTGTATTTTTCTTCTCCCTGCTGTTTGCTTTCTAATTTGTTCTATGTGTTGGGACATTGTGCCACTGGTGTTGGCAGGCATCTCTTTGGATTGCTCCTTCAGGGGCATCGAAAACTGTTTACCAGACTGAGACCAGCACTGGTAGGCCAAAACTCCACCAGTGTGTTGATGCTGTGGCTGTGTTGCTGGGCACTGTCTCTTACAGTTCCCTCCCTCCATATTTATTCAGTTCCAACTGGGAATCAGTTAGTTGGTGATTTTTCTCTGGTCACTAGGAGACCTGTACTTGCTGATCTATGCTTTTCCCCTGTAGTTCTCTGAGAAATGGAGGAGGGGAGGGGAGCACGCCACAGGGGCTATTGCTCATGCTGGGTGCTGTGTGTGCCCCGTGTTCACCCGGTCCTGTGCCCGTGGCTGTGTGGATCCCGTGCCTTGAATTCTGCACTCTAGTTCTCAATGTCAGGGTCTCAGATCCAATTTGACAGCTGTCACCCTGTGCAGTGCCCCTATGGGCATGTCCCAAGCCCCAGATCCTGCACCTGGCTCTCAGTTCCAGAATGGGGTCTTGCACCACACCTTGTTTCCCTTCTTACCCCCATCTGTGGCACACTACCCCTCAGAACCCGAGGGTGCTTTTGGAAACCCTGGCTTCCAACTATTAGGAAGTTGGTGATTTTGTTCTGATCGCTAGGTGGCACCAGATATCTTTCCTATAATCCTTCCAGAGCTGTGCTTTTTCCTGTGGGTCTCCAGGGGACTGAGTGGGGATGGCATGGAATGGCTCAACGGTGTGAGGGTGCTGTGTCTGCCCCCTGCCACACATTGTGGGGGGATCCCATGCCCCAAATTTCAAGCCCTGGGTCTCAGTTCCGAAGACCTCAGATGCGGGATGTGGGTGGTAACCCAGTTCAGTGTCCGCAGAAATGGCGACTTTTGAACCCCGCTCTCCTGCCTGAGCACCTGGCTTTTGATTACTCAGTGAGGGTCATTCACCTCAGTGAGAGTTCACACGTGTCATCCCACGAACCTAGGTGATGGACGCAGGGACCTGGGCAGCCACAATCCACATATGTGTTTTGAGCGTACACACTTTTTCCCACACAAACTTACTGTCCGGCCTTGGGCTATTTGTAGGTCTGGTCTCTCTGTGGAGTCCTTATCTTCCTCTACTGGCGCCCAGAGCCACTTGCTCATCTCTGTGGCAATTCCCGCACGGTTCTCCACAGTACCTGGTCCGGGGTGCGGTGCCTGCAATAGTTCCTTTCCACTCACAGTCCCGCTTGATCTGTAGTTTGTTCTCATTGTTGTTTTTCTTTCTGTTGGTTGGAGTGTGCCGACTTGGTGGGGAGAGTAGCAGGGTTCTGAGCTTTCCTCTCTTTTCAGCCTCTTTTATGGCAACTTTCCTCTTCGGGCAGTTTACCAGAGTTGCTGGTTTATTTTCCGTGTCCTGGTTTTCACAGGAACCTGCCCTTTTCCTCCCTAATAACTTTTTTTTTAATGGGAGGACTTACTCGCAGCATTTCCCTGCCACCATGTTGATCCAAATCAAGTTCACTATTCAAATGCTAATTTCTTTGGGGGCGGGGGGTGTTTCTTCATCTTCCTTTCCACCTCCTGTTTATTATTATTTTACTTTTTTAAAATAATAATAATGACAGGGCCTCCCCGGTGATGCAGAGGGTTGAGCACAGTGCTGTGAAGCTGTCCACAGCCTCCGCAGTGCAGGGTCCTGCAAGGGTCCTACACATAGCAGCTGACCTCTCTTGTCTTGCCCGTGCTTCCCTCAGCGGTGTATTTTTGTCTGTCTGCCTGTTCTGCTCCCTGTTCTGTCTCTGATGAATCCTCTCACCCTCCCGTGCCTCTGGCCTGTACCCCAGCTCTTGTATAAAAATAAATAAATCTTTTAAAAAATAAAAAATAAAAAAAAAATAATAATGACAGATCCTGACTAGAAGACTTAAGGAATTGGTCAAGACTCTTGAAACTTTTGTTCTTTTGGCACTAGTTCTAAATTCTTGAGCTCTTGACAAAGCTGATAGTCACCCAAAGTGGTCTGAACAGTCTCTTCACATGATAGTTGCTATTTCTCTTCTTATACTAATTTTTTAAGTGATAAAGTCAAAATAAAAACTAAAATTTAAATGAAATGATATGAAAGGTCCTTTACTTAAGAAAAAAAAACTTACAGGGCCTCCCTTGGTGGTGCAGGTGGTTGAGCACAGCCCTGTAAAGTTGTCTGCAGCCTCTGCAGCACCGGTTCTATCCCCGCTGGCCTGCGAGAATCCCACATGGCACTGGCAGACCTCTCCTGCCTTGCCCGCTGCTCCCTTCAGCAGTGTATTTCATCAGTCTGCCTGTTCTGTTCCCCATTTTGTTTCTGGTGAAACCTCTTACCCTCACGTGCATCTGGCCTGTACCCCAGTTCTTTTATAAATAAATAAATCTTTAAAAAAAAAAAAAAGAAAACTTAACTGGTTATATGACATGCTTTTTATAGAAAACTCAGGAATTTTCAGAAAAGTACATAGCAAATGTAATAAAATCATATGTAATTATAATGTACTGAAATATTGAATGCTTTCTTTTTTTTTTTAAAGATTTATTTATTATTTTACTTATTTATACAAGCACTGGGTAAGTCAGAAGTGCGGGAGGGTGAGAGAATTCACCAGAGCCAGAGCAGGGAGCAGAGCAGGCAGAAGGACCGAAGTACACTGCTGAGGGGAGCAGCGGGCGGCAGGAGAGGTCTGCACACCATGCAGGACCCTCCTCCGGTTGCCGGGGAGCAGCCGGGGATCGAATCGGTGCTGCAGAGGCTGTGGGCAGCTTCGCAACCCCGCGCTCAACCGCTGCGCCACCGAGGAGGCCCAATATTGAATGCTTTCTATTTTCATGTCTGGCCTTCCCTTTTTCTGTTAGTATAAACACATATAGCTTAACATAGTTAAGATTATTTACATGTACATTTCTGCATTTTTTTTAAATATATGGCATAAGTATTTTACTATTAATGAACATTCTTCTAGAAGTGAAATGAATATGAAAATGTTCCTTTTAAAGAAAATTACCTTTGGCTTGTTAAAGGATTATCAATTTAAACACATCTTTAATGACTAGCTATTCATTTTCAAATAATCTCTGCAAGCATTAGTATTAATTACCATTAACTGAATCTGATCTTTTATTTCAGATCCAATATGTATCTCTTCCTTCTGTCTTCTATTCCTTGTGAATGAAATCAGGAGGTCCGACTGAGTCCATATACAAGCCTTATTGATCACACATACCCATTGCTCTCAATATTCTTTTTTTTTTGTTTGTTTCTCTTAGATGGAATGGGTCGAGTTCTAGCTCAAGACGTATATGCAAAAGACAACCTACCCCCATTCCCAGCATCAGTAAAAGATGGCTATGCTGTCCGAGGTAAGTATTTTAGTTTTCTTCAATATCATGTTACTTACACACTACTTTTTTCTTCTCAGATTGTGCTCAGCCCAGGCACCTAATGACTGTTATATCTCTTTTCCCTTGGTTCTCAAAATAACTTCATTCACAAACAATGTTAATTTACAGGTGTTTTTTTTCTGGTACAACCTTGGAATTTTTTAGTGAAAGTACAATATGTAGTTACTTAAAAATTCTTGCTGCAAATCAATATTTAGAAATTGATAAAAAACACTATGTAGCATCATAATTTATTACTTTGACCTGTACACATATTAGATACCAGGCAGGCTTGGTCTGGAAGTTTTCCTAGTGTTTCCTAGTTGAAAACATTTATATTGTCCAAGAAAGAAGAGCAGCTTCCTAACACAGGGATAAAGTAGAGCAGTTTTTTCCACCTGTGTAAACTCAAGCATCAAAAAAGGGGCTCTTGGAAAACAAACACAAGGGAAACCTTTAATTCTCTGGAAGATACCACACTTCAAAGTTTCAGTGCCCAGGTGATACCAACAGCTCATCCCTTCAAAGTTGCCTAGATTGCATAAAGCTTAAATGCAAACACCAAATAGTTTTCAAAATGCAACTGAATTGCTTAGAAACTACTATTTGTTATTAACTCAAGGCTGATATCATTGAAGAAATGTCTAAAAGAATTTCCCAGTTTATCAGAGCTATTAAAAAGGCCAATCCTTTTTAACTGCCATTTATGGAATCTCTTACTGCTTTTTGTTGTTGTCACTGCTAGACACTAAAATAACTTCCTCTTTTTGTAATTAAATGCATCAGTTAATCTCCATGTTCCATCATAGCCGCTTAGCAATATCTTTTTATGTTGGAGTCTGGATAGCAAATGGTTCAGGCTATGGGCTTTGAGCCAAAAGTGATTTGGATTCTAGTACCAGTTCCATCTGTGTAACTTTGAGCAAATCACTAAAATTATTTGAGCCTCAGTTTTTCTCATCCATAAAATGGCAATAATGATAATGGTACTAACCCCAGTGGCTTCTTGCGAGAATTAAATGAGATCATAGACAGTCTTAGTAAAGTTTCTCACATCCAAAAATAGAAGTATTCAATAGTCATTTTTTTAAGTATTTAATGATCTTGGCTCCAGGGATGTCTTTGCAAGCTTAACTACAGTAGCAGTGGAAGCAAAGTTAAAAATAAACAAATGAACTACATAAAACTAAAGAGCTTCTGCACAGCAAAACAAACTATCATTAAGACAAAAGACATCCACCCTACTAAATGGGGAGAAAATTTTTCACTTCATACATCCAACAAGGGGCTAATATCCAAAATGTACAAAGAACTCATACAATTAAACAATAAGAAAACAAAGAATTCAATACAAAAATGGGCAGAAGAGCTTAACAGACTCTTTCCAAGGAAGACATACAGATAGCCAACAGGCACATAGAAAAATTTATATCATTACTTACCATCAGGAAAATGCAAATCAAAACCACAATAAGATAGCACCTCCCCAGAAACAAAAAATATTCATGAGAATATGGAGAAAAAGTAATTCTCAAACACCATATGTAGGATATAGAATTGCCTCTGGAAAACAGTATGGAGCTTTCTCAAAATATTAAAGATAGATTCACTGTATGATCCAGCAGTACCTCTCCTAAGTGTCTACCTGAAGAATACAACAGAATAAAGGGAATGCCTATGTTTGTTGCAGCACTATTTACGATAGCCAAGTATGGAAAAAAACCTATTTACCCAATAACAGATGAATGGATAGAGAAGATGTATATATACAAAGTGGAATACTACTCAGCTATATATTTAAAAAATAGGAAAGGATGCATTCTTGCAATTTGCAACAATATGGATGGATCTCGAGGACATTATGCTAAGGAGAATAAATCAGAAGGAGAAAAACAAATACCAGATGGTTTCACTTATGTGTAATATAAAAACCAAAGCGAAGTAACAGACAAAAACAAATCCCAGAAATCTGACTGCAGAGGCTGGATGGGGATGAAAGTGAAGAGGGAAGAGAGCTCAATGGACTATAGTGGAGGATTATTGGTGCTTCAGTGTTGAGCATGGTGTGATAATATACATTTTTAGAGTTGTAAACCTGTACACTTAAAATATATATAGTGTTGTAAGTCAGTGTTACCTCAATAAACATAATGTTAATTATAAATGTTAATAAACTCTCTTCTGTGGAACATAAAGAAACAAAACAAATGAACAAAATTGAAACAAAACAAGCCTTAGAAATAGGACTGCAGAATTGAGGCTACAAGAGGGGGGAGGGTAGGTAAAAATGGGAGGACACCATTGGGCTATGTTGGAGGATGTTGGGTACTTTGGTAGTAGATGTGTTGTGTAACATACATCTGAAGAGGTGTGAACCTATTCCCCTAAATCTTATACAATGTTGTAAACCAATGTTACCTCAATTAAAAAAATCTACAGAAAAATATTGAAAAGTTTTATAATCTATTACTATTGTTATAGAGCAACCCCGATATTAAACGGGTTCCTGGCTGTGGGTCCTCACCCGCGCGCTTTAAAGGGACTTATGAATACTCTACTACAGACACACACAAAAGGTTAATAAAAGGTTTATTTACAAGAGAAAAGGAAATAAGGAAAATGTACAACTCAGGGAGAAAATAGGGAAATAAAGTCTTTAATGCGTCCTACCCGATCCAACGACCTGGAAACCCAAAGTCACTCCCAGAGCTGGCCGGACGCTGCGAGCTGGCGGAGAGCCAAAATGGGGGTCCCCCAAAGCCCACGTGTCTGCCTTTATATCAACCTGGCTGCTTAACCCCACCCTCAGGTCCCAGCCACCTTCCCTTTGGTGGTGATGGGATTTGGAGTTCCCAGTGTCTTTGGCTTTGACCTGGGGTGGGGTTGGAGTCCACAAAGCCTATATGGAATTAGCTTTGGGACATCCTTTTCCCCCTAACAATTCCCCCCTTTCACTTTTTGCCACCATTTCCATGGTGATGAATATCGAATATTATGGAGGTTGGGATGCAGCCTCAGATGAACATTTTTTCAGGTTCCAGTGTGAAAGAAAACCAGTCTCTCCAGGTATTTGTCCATTGTGGAAAGCAAAAGTCCTCCACTCCAGGAAAAATAGTTCATCAGTTCAAGCCAAAAAAAAAAAAAACATCTGGAGGCATTAGCCAAAACAAGACAGCAGATATGTAAAAATCACAGGAAAAAAAATCTGAAAATGGTTCAACTGATGTAAAACACAAATTTTCTCAACCTTGATCCCAAACTTTTAACAGCATAGCAAAAGTTTGCAAACTAAATCTACTTTTAAACCATTTTTCCTATTTTTGCATAAAATCACAGGGCAGTAAATAACTAACAGCAATTTTTAGCTGGCTTTGTTGAAATACTCCATACAGGATCAGAGCGAACCGGTGGCATCCAGTCGATGTATGCTTCAGGTATAAAGTTGGTCTCATCAGACTCCACCTGGGCTTTCCTCTTCTCGAGGGTACCAGGGCATTTTCGTTGGCCAGGTTGTCCAGTCCTGCCAATGGAGGCAAGCTTCCTCACCTTCTTTGGAGGTCTCTGGAACCCTACAAACAAGGCAAACAGGTTCTCCTCTTCTTGGTTCAGCTCTTTTTCAACTTTTTGGAAGAACTCCACACAAAGCCACACAATCAAACTCACGTCCAATTTTTTTGTTAAAACAGACAAAATCCCTATGGAAGTTATGCAAAAACAGACTCTAAGATAAGTAGCAAAAATTACTACCACTATTTGTATGCCGTGTTGGTATCAAGGGGAGAGAAAACGTGACAAGTTAGCTTTGCTGGAAAAAAAAATTGCAACCTTGCTGCAGATCCTTGTTACTCAAAACAAAACAAAACAAAAACTTTGTGGATTCATGGCAGAATGCATAAAAAAAATTTCCAGTATTGTGTCAAAGAAACCTTAGTAAATGTCAGGTGTATTTCCAGGTCTATTCAGTCCTTTGTAGGAAAGTTTTTTTCTCTCAACAGTTCCATCAATAGGAATCTGTTGAGACCTTTTCTCCCTATATTTCCAGAAACAATTTCTGTAGATGTGAAACAATTGAATTATACAATATTACAAGGTGACAATCACCATTGACAATTTACATACATACCTGATACTGAGAGGTTTTTTTTTTTTTTTATATACACGTTTTAGAAAACTACTGTTGACATTTTGTACATACCAAAGTTTTACCATTTTCCCAAGTGACAATGCTTCCCTTCCAGTTTTACTTCATTAGGTAAAAGCCAAATAGAACAAATTCATCTAATGCCTTCCCAGGAGGAAAGGGAGAAACTTTGTGGAGTGTCTCAGGAGCTCTACTGAGGTTCCACAAAATTTCCTTGCATCAGTCAAATGACAGGCTACCAAATTTGTACTTGAATTTAGATTTCTGGGAAGCTTTGCCATAAATATCAGAAAATTAACAGAAACAACAATATTCAATCTCTATGAAGCCACCAGCTTAGTTCAGTAGCACAACGTTGACAATCAAACCATAACTTTTTGTTTTTCTCATAACTGGAAACTCTTTTTTTTTTCAAAGTCTATGGGCACCATGTATACCAATTTGTCAATCACTGGAGGTCAAGATTGTTAGACACAAGGACATACAGACAGACAACATATAGACACAAAGAGCTCTTTAGTTACCATTCATCACGCGTGGGATATCCCATACAACTGCAGTTTGTCTGATAGGCCAAAGTGACAATAAAAAAACAAGCAGAAAAAAAACTTCAAAGTAAAAAAAACAAAAGTTGATAGGAAATAACAAAATCAAGATTAAAAAAACCTTTCTATGTAAAAAAAACTGTCAGCATATGCATGATCCTAGATGTTATTTCACATCTCCTAAACTTTGAAAGGAAGAGATTGGTTAGAGCATGTTAGTTTTTTTCTCAGGGTTTCTTCAGAAAAAAAAAAAAAAAACGAGTTCTTGGGTATCCTGCAACAATAACTGGAAA